GCTCAATGAAAAAAAACACCCTTCAGTCATTTAAATGCAAGGCGTAAACATGTCGGGTTTTTTTTTGTTGTAAAGCAGATTGATTCCCCATTTGGACTTCTCTGTTGGCATTTACCCCTTGGCGCTCAAATGACCTTATGCAATTGCGAGCGCCGTAAAACCTTACTAAAACTAACCATAAACCAGACGTATTTTTATATGACACGAATACACATATCAATCACTTTGTTGATTGACTCACCTGGTACATGTAAATAGCTTCCGTGATACTAAATTTTATGGATATACATGTAAATCTTGCAGGCCTATTGAGTAAAGGAGAATGTACTCGTCAGATGGTATCGGCAATCGTATTGTATGGACATCTTTAAAATGTGCGCAGTTCAGATAGTGTCAAAGATCGTACACTACAAGATGGTACTCTCATCTCTTGGAAGCGTCCTCAAAATCCGGTGGTGCCCTCTTCGAAAAAGCGCATACTTTTCAAACAGAATTACCGAGCCGTGTGAAAAGATCAAAGTGAAACTGTGACTAGTTTTAAAAATAAATTTCAATTCAATTTTCAGAAGAACGCCTGGTTAGGCTGATAAAAAGCCTCTTTTCGGGAGGAAAAAGCTACTATTTTCGTCGTTTAATTTGGCTGTAGAATAAAAGGCGTGAAGTAATTGAGGTAATCATAATAACGTTTTTAAAAACCTAAAATTCCGCTCTGAGTGAACCAGAACAGCTGATTTTAGACTAATGAACAGCAGTCGATCCGCAAGCTCAAGGGGTTGCTATTCCTATTCTTCTTCTGGAGAAACGAAAGAAAGCTTTGAAACAGCGACTGCAGCGCCATCTGAAGCAATGCGTTTACCTCCGTGGACACTTTCTTTTATCCAAGAGAACCATCCTGTGGTGTACGATTGTTGATAGTGCGCGGCCCCGAAACATTTTTTGTGAGTGGTTGGCGGGTGCTCTGGTGTGGTTTGCTTCTTCTTCCCTATCAAACATCTATCGTCCTTATCTCCCCTTCTTCTTTTTTATGTTTGTTACTCTCTTATAACACCTCTAATCTTCTGGCGCTCATATGACCTTATGCAGTTGCGAGTGCCGTAAAACCTCTACTAAAACTAAAACTAAAAACATTTTTTTCCAAAGTGCGCGTGTCTGACGTTTTCCTTTCTCACCGGCCTTTGCTGGAGCAGAAGCTGGGCAGGGCCAGGAAGACCAGACATCGAATGGCTGTGGAGAATGCGAGGCCAAGGGAGAGAATCACGCCGAGCCCTACACTCACTCCAAGGGTCAGCTCCATGTTGGCCTCCAGCTGAGTGGGACAGGGATTGCGAGTCAAGGAAGGGGAGAAGGTGGCAGCGTCAATATTATTGAGGTTCAGAAATGGAAAAATACAAATAGAGAGTTGGCGGGTGTGTGTGTGTGTGTGTGTGTGTGTGTGTGTGTGTGTGTGTGTGTGTGTGTGTGTGTGTGCGCGCGTGTGTGTTGTTTTGTTGTTATTGTTGTTTGTTGTTTGTTGTTGTTGTTGTTTTGCTTTATTGTTTGGTTGTTTGAGTTAATTTTAAATTTTTTAATGTTTTTTTTTGGGGGGTGGGTGGGCTTAAAAATGAACAAAAATGAATTCAGATGTTTATCTATCTATCTGTCTATCTATCTATCTATCTATCTATCTATCTATCTATCTATCTATCTATCTATCTACCCCTCCCCTTCCCCCGAAACACTTGTTTCCACTTCAAGTCGTGTTTTCATCCGATCATCTTCAGACCTTATAATATTGTCTCGCAGCTTAACAATCAATTTCAAATTACATTTTGCTCACAATTTTTATCGCTGTTTTACCATGAACGATGGCCGCATTGGTGTAACAGGAGGGCTCTTTTCCGTCTATGCAAGGGATTGAGTTCGATTACCACGTCGCAGTACTGCCACGTCGAGTTGATCATTTGCCTTGGTGTCCTCTCATTTCTAACACGTCCCATGAGGCAAGAGCCGACCCTGACAGGCCGGATTGAAGCATTCCGCCAGTAATAATTTGCATATTTTCAAAGGGCACATTAATTATTAAGCATTAAGGACAAAACATTGTTGTAACACTTTCTTCATTTTTGGATTCTATTTGCTGTTTTTCTTGCCCTTACATCTTCGCTAAAAGTTTTGTTTCCCATATTGCCCACCCACCTGTCCCTACTGTCTCTGTCTCCGCTTACCCTTCCTCATCTTCGTGAGTGGTTGGCAGGTGGTCTTGAGTGGTTTGCTCCCATTTTCCTATCAAACATCTATCATCCTCATCTCTTCTTTTTTTTTTTATTGCGTTCGTTTCTCTCTTGTAACACCTCAAATCTTCGGCAATTATTTGACCTTGTTGTGTTGCAAATGCCGTAAAACTCTTACTAAACAAGAACATGTTCATGACGTCACCTGCAAGCACATGAAGAAATAAACGCCGACAGAGAGAGCAAGCCCAAAGAGGAAGCCCAGGAAGCTTTTGATCAGCTCGTTAGGGTATTGTCCTGGCGTGCACAACTTGTAGCCACAGCTGTGCTTTGGACAGCACAATTCACTAGAACAGAAAAAAGACAGCGTGGATAGGTAGGTAGGTAAGTAGGTAGGTAGGTAGCTATAGATAGGTAGCTATAGGTAGGTAGGTAGGTAGGTAAGTAGGTAGGTAGGTAGCTATAGTAGGTAGGTGGGTTGGTAGGTAGGTAGGTAGGTAGGAGGTAGGTAGGTAGGTAGGTAGGTAGGTAGGTAGGTAGGTAGGTAGGTAGGTAGGTAGGTAGGTAGGTAGGTAGGTAGGTAGGTAGGTAGGTA